CTCGTTATCTCAAAATGCCCGTAGATGAAGCTGCTCGTCGTCCGAGGCTCCAGTGTATTACCTAAGTTCAACTGAAATAGTAATTATCGCGAAAACTGATCATAAGCTATTTCAGGATGCGGGGCCTCTCTAGCGTCTGCAAAAACTAGACCCAGTAAAACGTGATTACTTTATCCAATTTTCCATTGTTTTTTGATCCCTTTATAAATTCAAATGTTTTACGGAGACCACGCATAAACATATTTTTCCTTCTATGTATTTGATTGCAAATTACTTCTTCTTTAAATTATCTGCTCGGAGAAAGGGTATACTTCGGCTGAAAATAATAATTAATTATTAATATTATAAGATTTTTTAAGGCCGTGAGTTTTCCATTCATAGAGCATCGAATCCCAATATTTCCAAACACTGCTTGTTTACTGTTCAACAGAGTCCGCATGCAGGGCAAAATTCTTCGAACCCTATATGCTAATGTTATGAGTCTGGCCTGGTACTGGTAATTAACGCGAACTGTTGAATTGCTCCACTGTATTTTCCAAAGCCAGAGCGTAGGAGAGGTAGAGGAGGCAATCAGCCAATAGGAGAACTGTATTACAAAAACGACAAGCCATTCTTACAAAAGGGCTGCGAATATTTATTGATCTGCTTGATGAGAAAAAGTCGGATACACGAACCAATCAGATCTGGCAAGAGATTGATAGCCGTGGTCCAGGTACACGCTCGCATGGTCGGCAGCGTGTAGGCTCACGGAGGCGCCTTTCCGTGGGTTGATTCGTCGTGAAAATGGAGGCATTCTTTACAGTTATCTTCTTGATGGGGTATAAAAATTTATGATATTCGTATAAATTAGAAAGCAGGCATCAAAAGAAATTTAATTTGAAGAAAAGACGTTTTTTATAAAAATAAGGTAAATTTATCCAGTAAATTTTTGAGACTGGTTCCCTAGCTCGTCTTCAGACTAGATGGAATAGTCATCTGCCGTCAGCGCTGATTTAAAAATTTTAAACGTGCAGAAAAAATAAATAGTTCTCAGCGCTCACCGTAGATGACTATTGATTTCTTCAGCACGTTTTAAATTTTAATTGTTCGTCGCATATCCTCTCTAGTCTGAAGACGAGCTAGGGAACCAGTTTCAAAAATTTATTGAGTTAACTTACTTTGTTGAGTCATAGAACATTTTTTCTTCAAATATATGGTATTTTTTTGCAGGAAAAAACGGCTCGTGGTTTGGAAATCCCGAATGCAAGTGTAATATGAGATAGGGTTAAAATATTTCGGGTATTTTAAACCATTTGTAAAAGCGAAATATATCCTTTTTTCGGGTATTCATTATAAAAAAAGGCGTAACTTAACGCAAACTTTATCTATAAAACAATATTTTATGTATGGTTTCTGTAAAATATGTTTAAATTTATAAGGGTTTTTAAAGGCAATGGGAAAGTGCAAACTACTACACTACTACATTTTTGCAAAAAATATATCCAGACGACCAGAAAGAATCTATTTCAAAGGCCGTCATTTTGACTCGACTGGAATAACGAAGAAGGTTTGTCGAGCACCGGATCAATTTGTTTATCGTCCTGAGCTTTCGGGCTCTTGCGGGATCCGGTGCTCGACAATCCTTCTTCCTCATTTATGCAAATACCTGAGAATCGAACGTTTTCCTTCATTCGTGACTGGAAGATGCTGACGTTGGCCTTACCATACTAACAGCTCATGTACTAGCTAGGAGGCCCAGCCCCGTGTTTCGCCGGTATTCTACCGCTGCTTGACACAGCTGCGAGAGGTCCGGCTCGTCGGTGGGTCCCCCAGCGTTCACTGTTTGCATTCTGGTTGATATACCGGATTTAAAAGTTTAGTCCTGTAATATTTTATAAATTTATTTCTGTTCACGGTATACATCAGTATAATTGGGGTTTATAGGCATAGACCGAAACTTTCTGTGTATATCTGGGTCAAATTCCCTCAACCATTGCGTAATATACACATGCAGCCAACAGGCAAAAAGTAGTACAGTAATCACCGGCTATTAAGCCCATGGTTAATAAGCCCGCCGCTTATTAAGCCCAATTTGGTCTGAGCCCGAGGTGGGCTTAATAGCCGGCGACTACTGTAGTATATATTGACGTTGTGACTTATCATACGACCAACCAGAAAATAAACATAGAAAACTGGAGGACCCATTGACGAGCCGGAAACCTCACAGCGTTATCAACCAGCGGCAAAATACCGGCGAAACATGTGTCTGGGCCATTTCGCTAGTACCTGAGCTATTAGTACGGTAAGTCACAACGTCAGTATATACTGCTACTCTTTGCCCATTGGCAGTATGCGTATATTACGCAGGGGTTGACAGAGTTTGACCAAAATATACACATAAAAATTTCGGTCTATGCCTATAGACCCCAACTATACTGATTTATACCGCGAAGAGAAGCATTACAATTCTGCTCAAGTGAGCCTTTTAGGTAGGGCATGTACTGTGTGGAAACGGGACATTTAATCATTGAGTCGTTTATAGGACTTCCGACATCTGCTGATAGTTACTTAAACGCCTAAATTTTTAGTCTTATGCAAGAACTGGAGCGGAAGAAAATCCACCTACTGAACGTCTTCAACGCGGCCTCAGACAAGAGACTGCGAGAGAATGAGCACAACTCTCTCACCAGAAATATCGATCTCAGTCTGCAGTTCCAGGGCCTGGGTGCCCGGGTCAATGGCCTGATGGCAAAACAAGATAGTCTGCAGGTCGAACAACAGGAGCTCGCCAGAAATGTGGGACTTACGGATGAAGTGAATGCGATTTTTGAGAAGAAATCCAGGGACGCGATTAAAGTACGTTCAGGCCGGCCCAAATTCTCATGATTAAAGTCTGGTGTCTGCCGGTGTAAACCGATCAATTTACAGAGGTTTGGTCAACAATATTTTTCTCCCTGTTAAGCATAATCATATTCTTAATTTACCTCAATAAGTCAGCGTTATTGAACCTTGATTAACGTCCGGGTTTGAGCGCTGATGAAAGCAGATTTGATTCATTATACATATGTCTAGGGTTATTTTGCTGTTAAAGCGCCATGTAGGCAGAATGTCATTATACTATGGAGACTGGATGACCATTTCTGGTCTATTTGCGGTCTTCGGTCAGCCATACTCAGCTTCAAGTTTTCAAATTTCGAGGCTCGGAAGTTTAACGCTCTACCCGCCAAGTGACATTATGGAGATCTCGAAATCATGCAACCCAAAAATCTTGGATGCCAATCGGACAGTAATCTTCGACCACCTAGTGTTCCATCCACGTTCCGTTCCTGAACGAGGGATATCACGTCTACAACATATACTCTAATTCGAAGCTTGGGTGGGCCACCAATTTATAAGACACCACTTGGGTTTGGATATGACTGGCTGACGACGGCTAATAAGCCCGAAATGGCCATCCTAGTCTCCCTTTTATTTGTCGGTTATGTCCTTCTGCCTATATTTTAGTTATGTATTCTACTTTTCACTACGCGACTGCCTGCGAGGACCCTAAAGTGAGCTCCAGGGAAAAACCAAAACGTATATATTCAAATGACTAGATCGGCGAGCGCCAAATATTCATCATATGTTTGACTTGTCAACTGGGTGCGTTTGTTGGATCAGAGCGGTTTTC